GAGGACAATTGGTTTACTCACATGTTTATTCATTCAACAGACATTTATTAAGTGCTTATCATATGCCAGGCAAAGTACAAGGCTGTATATGACTAAATGTATAGTGTACACACTTGGCAACCAAATGGGATATAAGGAGATTGGATCACTAAATGGAAACCCTGGGGATAACCTTTTGTAGAATGTTGGAAGAAATTGGGCTGAATTTTAAAGAAAATTTTGATTTTTGGCAAGTGGCTAAATGGAGTAAAGGGACAGAAGATTTTTAATAGGGGAAAATGGTCTGAGCCATAATAATTTTATTATTAATTTTAGTATTGTGATTACTTATCACAATAATACTAAACATGGGAACTAATAACATCCCCCATTTTATAGACTTGGAAACTAAGACAGAGAACAGTTAAATAACTTTCTCCCAAATCACACAGAAACTAAGAAGCAGAACCTGGATTCAAACAAGTTTGTATAACTTCCAAATCCCAACTCTTAAGCACTCCCTTGCATCACCTCTCCTACTTAAACATCTTAGAATTCTGATTGAAAACCAAACAAGATCCAAAATATTATACCTGATGTTAAGACTCTCCTCAACCTAGCTCAGATTACCTTGTCAGCCTTGTCTCCCATCTCCCTTACCGACTGAGAAGATGCTTTTCCCAGGAGCCTGCCTCAACCCTGGTCCTCTTATGTGGTTCTTAACTTCCTCCCATCAAATGTTTTATTGTAAAGAATGATAATAGATAATAATGAGAAGTGATTATTTATCTATATGCTCCATTAGATTGTTAGCTTCTTGAAGTGAAGGACTTGTTGCACTCCCCAGTACCTGGTCTTGACCTGGCACATGGTCAGTGCTCTTTAAATAATGAACCCTATCCTTCAGTCAGACAAGGTAGCTCTCTTGCTCCCAAACACCTTCTGCATTTCCCCTTTACATCTGTATATGATGTTCCCACAACCTAGAATGCCTTTAATTTCTTACCATGTGTTTTTTTATTATTGTTGTGGTTTGGGGGTTGTTGGTTTTTGTCTGTTTGTTTTTTGGTGACATCCTGACCTTCATTTAAAATCTGGCTCAGATACCATCTTCTCTTTAAAAAGATATTTTTCTTATATCTATGGTGGAAAGTCATCTCTTCTTGTGATAGCTTTATGTCCCTCTCTATCAGCATAATAACACATGTCATCTGCTGTGCATTCCAATTTTTTTCTGCACAGTCTCTCGCAAGAGACTTTGACACTTTAGGAAAACATCATATCATGTTGATCTTTGTATTACCTCCATTTATAATACACCAGTGCCAGAAGGTGCCTGGCAACTCTTAAGCATCTCATAAAAGCCTGTTAAATTGAACATGAATTTGATCTCCACAGCCTGTTCTCAGAAACCAGCAGAGCCCCAAGAACTATCTGTGAAACCATTATTCTTAGAAGGAGTTCATGGGCCCCAGAGGACTGGTAACTCCTGAAACTGCATGCAAAGCTGTTTATGTGTATAGCTGTGTATGTGTTTACTGGAGAGCAGGTCTGTGATATACATTATATTTTCAAAGGATTCTATAACTCAAAAAAGTAAAGAACCACTGTTTTAAAGCTTTATTTCCCATTTTCTTGTTTATTTTTTTTCTTTATTGGATAAAAAAGCTTTTCAACTGTAAAGGCAACAATCCATACACAGTGAGACAGCATATTAAAATACAGTTTAACAAGAGAGAGTCCTTGTGCCTATCCTGCCATCACTGTGAATGCGTGCACACGTGCGCATGTGCATAGACACACACACACGTACACACACATACACACACACTCAGCAGTACCTCTATAGGACCTTGGTGGATATCTTTCCAGATTTGCATATAAATGAAAATAAAGTTATATTTCCAACTTTTTATTAGAAATTCCATGTATCAATGAGAAAAAAAGTTGAATCCCTTGATACGGAAATATTTGAAAGACATAAACATATGACTTTAAAAATACAACATCCAGATTGAGGGAAAGATGTTAAACTTTAGAGAAATATAGAAACAGCATGCATTTTTGTGCCTATTAGGATTTCTCTCTCTCTGTCTCTCTCTCTCTCACACACACACACACACGCGTGCGCACGCACACACACACACACACACACACAGAGGCACAGCTCAGGAACAGGCCCTCTGACCTACTGCTGGCGGGAGTGTGAATTAATACACTCTTTTCCTGTTTTTCTTTTCCTCTTTTCATGTGTTTGTTCTGTTGGTTATTAAATTTAAGAACGTAGATTAAGTGGAATCTCTGTCAACTTTATATCTCTTGGTAGCCATGGTTCAGTAGTTCAATCTCTTCTCCCACTAATCCTTTACTTCTTCCTCTTTACTGTAAACATTTATTTTGTTCCACACTTTTTAAAATGCTTATGCTACATCTGGAATTTTTATTCCTAGCATTACATTTCCTGTCCCTTATTACTTTTGTTTGTTTGACTTTTAAAGATTCTGTTTCATTTCTTTTCTTTTTCTATTTTCATTTCTGATTTTAAGACTGTTTTTGCCTTTCAAAGCATCTTATTTTTATCTCCTTTTGTTTTATTCTGTTGAGGTTTTTTTTTTAATTCGTGGTTCATTTAATGATATACAATTGAAAAGTGTGCCCTACCTTATAAAATCTTCTCAGAGGCCCTCTGGGTCATTTAATCTTTCTAAAGCAATGGATAAAATGACTGACAGGGTGCTTGTAAGAATTGTTAGACATCGCCATTCTCATCCCAGGGCTCCTACTCCATCTTTAAACAGTTGATAATATCATACAAGTTGTTGATCTAGTTCTGTTTAACTAGAAATATGCAATGGCAAAGAGTTGGTAGAGATAAAATTCTTAAGAAGTTTATTTCAGTAAATAGTAATGGAGTTCTGAATCCCTCCCAAGTACAAGCTGAGATTCTAGGCTGTATACTTTGCTAGTTAGACGTCATTTAACTTAACCTGATATTTTTCAGCTCTACCAAAAACATCCTTATTTAATGTTCTAAATTAGTCAAGAAATCCTTCTTGTCAGGCCTAAGAAGTTCATCCAGGAATTCAGCAAGTGTACATTTAAAAAAATGCTTAACGTGTGTGGTTCCATTACAGCCATTTCATAGAAGCAAAGATGCTTACTTTAGGAGCAAACTGACTTGAGATTGAATCTCAGCTCTACTTTTCCTAGCAAGACAGGAAATCCTGTGTAGGAGATAAAGATTGATGGAGGACTCTGGGCCAAAAGAATACAAGGACTGAGTTCAGTACTGAACCCATTGTATTTGCCTAGATGGGGACTGTTGGGTACAGGACTCTGAGAGGAACATGGTGGAGCGTAAGTGCAAAAGCATCTGGATTGTGGAGAAGAGGCCACAAACACCTAAGGGAAATGAAGTCCTTTGGATTGTTACCACTGCCTGCAGCTACACACAACCCAGGCAGACAAAAGGCAGGGTCTACCTGGGACCCTTTGTCGAATAGGTAGATTAGGAAGGGTTTTGATTCGTGACTGTACACTGTCCTCCAACCTATATTTGCAGATATTTACACGCTTGTGCATATTCATGAATATACACACCCCCATTCTCTCTCTCTCTCCCACCCCAACTCTCTCACTCTCACTCATTCTTACTTTCACTCTGTCACTCCCACTAAACTTTGTCACGCAGGTTTTCCCTCTTGAAAGAGGAGAAAAATTATTACTACTGTAGGGTGGTTGTGAGATTAATGAGATAAAATATGAAAGGTGCTTAGCAATGGCTGCCTGTGACCATGAGTGCCTTCTTCCCACACACCAGTGGGTTCCTGTCCCCTTTGCCACCGTAAGAATGCATCCACGGCCCTTTGCACACAGAGCTCTTTCATTCCTCGGAGACTCGCCGGGTGGCTGTGCGCCTGGAACCAGAAAACAAAGTGCCTTTCACATTGCTGCTCTCATTCTTCCTCACAGAACCTTAAGAGGGAGGAATAATTTTCTCCCTTTTATAGCTGGGGAGCTGAGCTGAGGCTCAAAAAATAAAGCAACTTCCCCAAGAGCCCAAAATGATTGAACTGTACACCCCAGATTGCCACCTAACTCCAGAGCTTGAGGACTTTCCTCCATGCTTGGCCCCTGCCCTATAATGCACCTTCTATTATCTAGCATATGTTTCTATAATCTATGCCCAGTCTAGGAAGGGGGCATTCTCATTTGATTAAACAGATAGTTACGATTTACTAGGAAGTCCAGACTGAAGAAGTCTCAGCCTTCTTAAGTGGCTGAGACATGATTAGTGTTCAGAAGAGAATGCAGATGTGCTGAATTCTCTCTGTTCACTACACTCTAGGATGCTTGGGGTTAGAAATCTTGTTTACTACGTCTATATATTGAGGCAGGTTTTCACTCTGTCACTCAGGTTGGAGTGCAGTGGCACGATTATGGTTCACTGCAGGCTCAACCTCTCAGGCTCAAGTGACCTTCCCACCTCAGCCTCCTGAGTAGCTGGGACCACAGGCATGTACAACCATACCCAGCTAATTTTTCATTTTTTTGTAAAGACAGGGTCTCACTGTGTTACCCAGACTGGTCTCGGACTCCTGGGCTCAAACAATCTGCCTACCTCGGCCCCCTAAAGTGTTGGGATTATAGGCGTGAGCCACTCCACATGGCCAGAACTTATTTATTTTATTACAGTTTTATCCTCATGCCTTTGCCCTAGGGACAAATGATAGTTGCTCACTCAATTCATGTTGGTTGAATACATAAATAGATATTTTCTAAAGAAACATTCACATTCTGAAGTGAATTGAATCTGAGCCTTGTTGAGAGGAGGAGAAAAGGAAATAAAATTATTCCTGTGAGATCAATGTACTCTCTCTCTCTCTCTCTCACACACACACACACACACACACACACACACACACTTCTCTCAATATGAGCCCCTCCAGCTACACACATCCGCCATCTCTGAACATATGGATATGTGCATATTCAACTGTTACTATTTAACTATTTTTCAGTTTGTGAAGAAATATGGGAACCTTTTTAGCTTGGAGCTTGGTGACATATCTGCAGTTCTTATTACTGGCTTGCCCTTAATCAAAGAGGCCCTTATCCACATGGACCAAAACTTTGGGAACCGCCCCATGACCCCTATGCGAGAACGTACCTTTAAGAAAAATGGTAAGTTTCTTGGCCAACGAAAGGTGAGTGTTTGATGTTGATATTCCTATAGTCTGCTAAAGGCACCTTGGTGACTATAATTTTACAACACTCCTAGAAACCAGCCCCACAGTAAACTTCCTGCCACTAAAGGAAGCTGGGTATTCACATTTCCTGACTGAAGTCACTCCCTCAGAAGATTTGATAAGATCATCCCTCACTGGGATTTGGGAGAAGCCACATGCCCTGCCCAAACCTACTGTGGATGCTTTTCTAATGAAGTAACCACATTACCCATTTATAGCAGAGGAACGTGTTCTCTCTGTTTTCCTCTTCCAACCCTCTCCCCTTAGGAAAATGGATGTGGATCTTCCTCATTCTGTTGCTGCTTCTTCCTGTCTCTAGTTCCTTATTCTCTTTCATTAAGGTTGTGCCACACAGAGGATCTTGAGCCTTCTGGTCTATGATAGAACAGATTGGCATGAACACTTAAAATTACCATTAAATATATGGAAACATTTAAAAATTGAAATGACAATCTCAAATCTATTGCTCTATCAAAGCACCACTTTTAGGTGCTTCTCAATTCTTTGAAATAGGTCCTCAATTAATTCTATATCCGTTCACTGTATTATCTGCCTTGTGAAGCACAGTACTAGACATGAGGGATGTAACAGTGAGAAGAATAGATAAAATCCATATCCTATGTAGTTTATATTCTATGCAGAGAGAAAAAATAGTATCAATTAACTATAATAGTTAGAAGTCTACAGTGTTTTGAAGTCGAGTGCAGGATGTACTTATTAATGCAGTCCTGGGATGCAGAAAAAGTAAGTAAATATTCATTTAATAAACTGGTGAAACAATCTGGCAGACAGAAAAGAATATGAAAAGTCCCTGACATGAAAAGGACAGGGAACTTGAGAAATGAAAGGTGGCCAATATGACAAGGATGGGGATTAAAAGGAGATAATTAAAGGGAGATGAAACTACTGAGCTTGGCCAGGAATAGTTCGTGCAAGTTCCTGTTAAGGATATTAGTTTTTATCCTAACATTAATGGAAGCTCTTGAATGGCTTTAAGTAGAGAAGGGAACTATACTTACACTGTACATTTTTAGGTTTTATTTAGGCTGCTATTCAGAGAATAGAAGAAAAGGAGCAAGAGACTTTTGTAGCATTTTAGGTTACAGACAGTGGTAGCTCAGGCTAGGGAGGTCCAATAACAGTAGGGAAATAACAGTAGGTTACACCAAGATAACAGCAGGGAAGACCTGGATTTGAGATATCCAGGAAGTACACCTCTTAAGACCTGATGACATAGGTGCAGGGAGAAGGAGGTGTTGAGGTGACACTCAGATGGGTATATGATGGAGAAAAGGAACACTTAGTACAAGGTATTTGGTTTAGTTGGGCATGGGTGAAAAGTCATATGGAGAAAATTGTGAGTTCAGTCATGGATATGCTGAATTCAAAATGCCTTTAAATCAGCAAAGTCAAGCAGGCAGTGTTGTATATAAGATTCTGGAGCTCAGGGACAGAAATAGATGGTCACTATCAATAGATGTTATTTAAAATTTTAGGAGTTGATAAGATTTACCAGGAATAGAGTATAGGGTGAGAAAAAGAAGTTTTAGATGAAGAGGTTCCTGAAGAACTCCACCATTTCAAGATCTAATGGAATATGAACCAGCAAAAGACATAGGAAATTGCTGGCAGAGAATTAGGAAGAAAATCTGGAGACAATGGTATTCTGAGCACCACTGGAAGGCAGTATTTCAAGAAAGAAGCGTCTACTGCAGCTGCAAGTAAGACGAGGTCAAAAGGTATCCCTGCATATGACAACGAGGCAGACCAATTCAGTGAGTGAGAAGGCCATAGTCAGATATTAAAAGGTGTTGAGGTGTGCTCTGGAATTGAAATTGAAAGGAATGTGGCATTACCTGTGTTATAAAACAAATGATGGTCTGTTAAGCCCACCAAAAATTTTTTTCTTTGCTTGTACTCTTCTTTCTGCATGGAACATTCACTCCTCCTTGCTCTCTTGATTCCTTACGTCATCTTTTAATGTCCGGGTTAGATAGGACCTCTCCTATAAAGCCTTTCTTAGCCTCTTTAAGAGTATAGATATTGTCTTATCCATTAGTGCATTCTTAGTCTTTAGCATAACATAAATACTTCACTTATGTAACTAATAATCAAAGCATGGGATTTGGAATCAGGCAGACCTGAAATTGAACACCTGTTTAGTTGCTTACTTACTGTGAGACCTTGTAAAGCGTATTTTATCCTTTATCCCTTGTTCCTCAGTTTTCTCATGAGCAAAATGAGTGGGTGAGGAGTGGTAATAATTGTACCTATCCCAAAGAGTTTCTATGAGTACTAAATTATGTAATGCACAACAAAATACATATTAAAGTGCCTGACATTGCAAGCAATCAGTAAATATTAGCCATTTTATCCATTGCTTTGGGATTATTTCTCTGGGCAGTTTTCAAGTGCCTTAATGATCTTCTCCTGTCCTTCATCTGATACACATCCCCGTATCATTTCGGGATATTCACATTATGGAATCAGAATACTGTAATGTTGACTTTCTTTTTCCCAGGATTGATTATGTCAAGTGGCCAGATATGGAAGGAGCAAAGACGGTTCACTCTGACAGCACTAAGGAACTTTGGTTTAGGAAAGAAGAGCTTAGAGGAACGCATTCAGGAGGAGGCCCAACACCTCACTGAAGCAATAAAAGAGGAGAACGGTGAGCATTGCATACGACAAATGTGAGAGACTGTGGCCCATTTGTTCATTGGACAGATACTTACTAAGTGAGTAAGTACTTGTTCTATGCCCAGCAGTGTGCTAGGAATGGAAGATAGAACAGTGAACAACTTAACCACGACTCCGTCCTCAAAGAGTTTTAGAAGTAAATACGCAAAGATGGGCACTAAACACATTACTGAATTTAAGCCCTGGTCCACAGTTTGACTTCCCTGGAGTTGACTGAATACTAGTTGTATGTCAGACGCAGTGTAAGGTCATGTGGCCAGAGCCGCATATATGGTTCTGCACTAGGTATGTCTTATGCCATATAGAGTAGACTCTTAGTAGGAAATGGAGACAAATCCATCAGAAGGATCCATCTTGCCCTTCCTCCACCTTCAGGACAGCCTTTTGACCCTCACTTCAAGATAAACAATGCAGTTTCCAATATCATTTGCTCCATCACCTTTGGAGAACGCTTTGAGTACCAGGATAGTCAGTTTCAGGAGCTGCTGAAGTTATTGGATGAAGTCACATACTTGGAGGCTTCAAAAACGTGCCAGGTAAGCCTCATCTTGGTTCAGCAAATTGGGGACAATGTCAGACACATATGGGTTTTTCCTTTTAGTTTTTTGTGGGTTTTTGAAGCTAAAATATAACCTTTCAAAACTGATTTCAACACAAACTTATTTGAAATCAGTCTGTTGACTTTAGTTTTTTAAATAATATGAAATATTTATATGCAAAAACCATTTCTAACATGCATGTAAGGTGCAACATGTTATATGACATACGCCTATCCACCTATATTGTTCTTTTTAAAAAGAACAACAATATTGCTGTTGCCCTTGAGTCTCTCCTCGCTGTGTCCTTCCCCAACTTGTCCATTTCCCTCCTCCCTCAGAGGTTCTCTTCTGTATCCGCTTTCTTCCTCAGCAAGTTGCTTTGAGATTCATCTGTGTTGGTTGCTCTTTTTTAATGCAGATTAGTATTTCATTGTATGAATGTGCCACTTTTTGTCAATCTGTTCTGTACTGACGGACATTTAAATTGTTTCCAAGTTTTGGATGCTATGAATAAACCTGCCATGAACATTCTTGTACAAGTGTTCTTGTGGTTACATCCACTCATTTTTTATATATGTATCTGGAAATAAAAGATGTTTAAAGATTGCCAAGCTCATTGCATTATTTGTCTGCCCATCAGCACTTAATATCATCAATCTTCTAATTCCATAGAATGTAGCTGTTTGGGGTTCAAACTCATTCCTCCCTTGGTGGGCCCTGCACCCCAATTTTTGTCCATATAAGCCTTTGAGTCTTTGTCAAAAACTCTGCTCAGTTTCTTGGTTCCTCAGTCACTTTTCTGAATTTGGAAGACATTTCTGGGAGCTGGGGGGCAGGGGGAGAAGATGACCCCAAGTATTGAGTTCATACCCTGGGCTTTCTTCTTCCCCTAAGCCTTATCCTGGAAACTTCCTCACTATCTTGGTTTGTATATATGTGTGCTTAAATGCATACACATGTATCTTTTCTTGGTGTTCTCAATAGAAAGAGTGCCCTTGAATTATGCAGTGTGCCATTATCAAAATTTTTAAAAATTTCCTTTGTTTAAAAAATGACTCTATTTTTGAAAATTACAAATGTACCATAAAAGAATACAATCATGAAACACTGTGTACTCGTCAATGAGCTCTAACAATTATCAGCACATGGCCATTCTCACTGTCTGCATCTGTGCCCTACTACCACATTCCCACTGTCCCTGAATTATTTTGGAGCAAATTATAGACCTCAATTATTTGATACATAAATATTTCAGCATATATTTATAAAAAGATCCATTTTAACAAAAATAAAATACCATCGTGCCTGAAAAATATGAACAATAGTTATTTAATGCCTTCAAACACTCAGCCAGTGCTCAGATGTCCCCAGATGTCTCATAAGTATTTTTTTTTGGTGGCAAGCTGTTGGAGTGGTGACAAGTGGTCTGAGGCTGGATATATTTTTGACAGAGAGCTGAACTGTTTCACTAGAGGCGTGAGAGAGAAAAGAGGGGTCAAGGATAACCAAGGTTTAAGTGTGAGCAAATAAAAGCGATAGAAAGAGAAGATGGTTTCTGTTGTCTTAAAAAGTGAAAAAAAGGCACAATGTTATCTGCATGATTGTTTTGTTTTTCTCAATTAGCTCTACAATATCTTTCCATGGCTAATGAAATTCCTGCCTGGACCCCACCAAACTCTTTTCAGCAACTGGGAAAAACTGAAATTGTTTGTTTCTCATATGATTGAAAAACACAGGAAGGATTGGAATCCTGCAGAAACAAGAGACTTTATTGATGCTTACCTCAAAGAAATGTCAAAGGTGAGAAAACCAAAGTCATTTTGTGTTTTTTTCTTACAGCACAAATAGGGGTGTATTAGTTTCCAGCTGCTGCTATAACAAATGATCACAAACTTGGTGCCTAAAATAGCACAGATTCATTCTCTCACAGTTCTAGATGTCAGAAGTATGAAATCAGCTTCACTGAGTTACAGGTAAGGTTTTGGCTAGGCTGGCTCTCTTTGGAGGTGCTGGAGGAGAATCTGTTTCTATTACTCTCCCAGCTTCTAGGAGCTGCCTATATCCCTTGGCTTGGGGCCACCTCCTTCATCTTCAAAGCCAGAAGCACAGCATCTTCTCTTCTCTCTGGTATCTGCTTCCATCCTGGCATCCTTTCTCTGACTTTGTCCCTCTTATTTCCCTCTAATAAAGACTATTATGATAACACTGGGCCCACTGGGATGTTCCAGGATAATCTGCCCATCTCAAAATCCTTAACCACATCTCCAAAGTTCCTTTTTCCCTATAAAGTAACATCCCTAGATTCCAGACATTAGGATGTGGATGGGCATCTTTGTGGGTCATTATTCAGCCTGCTACAGGAGTAAAAATAAGGGCAATATTTCAGAAAATGTAGAGTAACATTAACTCAGTATTGATGATGCAATTAGAGATAAAGATGGGGGTTAATGGCATTTGGTTTGAGGTCCTGTGAATGCCCAAATACTGCCCTTTCATTCCCCATCCCCTACCCTCTACTGTTACTTGGAGGTATACACAAAGGGGGAACATAGCAGTTAATCCTCAAAGCTCTGTTCTATCATTAGTTGGGCCTGGACCCAATAACCTATACCCTTTTCTCAGCCCCCATAGAGAATACAAGTAAAGCTGAGTTAGATGCCAGAGTTTAAAGGCCAACTTTATTAAGGCCTGAGTTGGGCTTTTGCCTTTCCTTCTGTCTTGTACCTTTCACTTTCCAACATTACAGGCCAGAAGTAAAGAGGAAACCAAATTGGATGCATGACCTTGAACACAGTTACCCCTCTGGTTAACATGTATCTCTGTGTCAATACTGTCATCTTTATACATCCAATCCTCCTTCTGGATTGGAAAGAATGGTGGATTTCTTTCCCTCTTATTTGACCTTATTGGCATGACATTTATAGAAGTATTGTTTTCACCTCAGAGGAGGGGATTCGCTATATGTTGTGCAGGTAAGGAAGGGACCATTAATATCAAGAGCAACATTGGACAAATTGAAGTTTCCAGAAGCTGATGTTAAAGATGACAGTATCATGAGGAATGCTTGTTAGAATCAGTGAGGTTCAAATTGGAAAGGAAAAGATGAGTGAGGAAATATAAGAATTGTTGTTCACAAGAGGAATTCCATTTGTCTTTTCTGTTATCAGTACAAACATTTGTCAAGTATTTGCTATGCGTCCTTGCATTCATGTAAATCATAATGCCCTCTTAAGGGGTGTGCATTCCTATTTCCAGTGTATAAAATGGGAAACTGAAGAACAGAGAGGTTAAGTAACTTGCCCTAGGTCATACAGCTGCTAATTGAAGTGGTTAATATTGGAAGCCAAATCTGTCTTATTCACATCCCATTCTCCTTTCACTGTACTAAAAGCTTCCCCCAAATTACAGGCAAAAGAAAACAATTGTCTTGATTTTCATCCATCCAAAGGTGTCCAGCACTTGGGGCAGGACAGTGCTAATGATATTGCTGTAATAAAAGTCTGCCTTCTAAAGAGGCCAAAGGGAAAACTGTTTCTTTTGGGGACCTTTTCTTCCAAATTTCCACCTAGGATGAAGCCCCTGTGTGTTACAGCAATCAGGAATCCTCTGAATAAACCAATAAATAACATTAAACATTGTCTTTTCTAGCACACAGGCAATTCTACTTCAAGTTTCCATGAAGAAAACCTCATCTGCAGCACTCTGGACCTCTTCTTTGCCGGAACCGAGACAACTTCTACGACTCTGCGATGGGCTCTGCTTTATATGGCCCTCTACCCAGAAATCCAAGGTGAGCATGTCAGTGAGTGAGCCTGGACCAGGACAGAATAGTGCCTCCTGGGACGTGCTGCCTGAAGTCAGAGCCAGAAGATCTCATTGTAGGATGAAAAGAGAGGCAGAACAGTCATGAGTGATGAGGTCTTGGAAACTGCACATTCTTCACATATTCTGTCTGAACTGTGATGGGCCCAGGTAATACAAATGTGAGAGAGAATCCCTGTCCTCAAGAAGCTCAGAGGCAAGAGGGAAATCCATGAAGTCAATCGACATTGTGATAGTTCCAGGAAAGAGTTACTTTCTGATGTGAAAGTCTAGTTGTGTCTTTCCCTTCTTTTAAGTGATGCCTTCCCATTTCCCCCTGAATAATGTTCAAACACCTTAGTCTGGTATATGTCACCCTCCGATATGCCTCTTCTGCCTGTCTAGCCTTGGCCCCACCTACCCTCCATGGTGGCCTCACTAAGTGACCCGTCATTTTCTTTGTAGTCTGTATTTATGGCTCTATGTCATGATATATGCTTTTCCCTCTACTTGCCCAGTTTTCCTACATAGTAAACTCCTAGCTCTTCTTGAAGAATCTGTTCAAATACTACCTCTCTAAGATGTTTCTGCACTCCCCTAGGAAATTATTAACATTTTCTCCCTCCAGAGATGATGTAATGTGCCTTTGTTACTAGGCTTATCATGAATTATTTCTATAGCTTCCCCACAGACTATAGTCCACTCAAGAATGATGTTCACATCATTTTTCTTCCTCCAGCTTCCAGAACAGTTTGAACATATGGGGGATGGGAATGCTTAACAATACAGTTTTTCGAATTGTGGGTAACCATTTATTAATGAGTCATAAAATCAATTTAGTGGATCAAGACCAACTTTTTTTCTTAAGATAAAAATAGAAAAGATCAGAGTGCTTCCCATGTACTAAGGTAAGTTTGTTTACAGAACTTTATTTTTTCATCTGTATCTGCATAATGTATGCTTTATATGTGTGTATTTAGGTATATGCATCCAGGGTCATGCTCAGTTAAAAAGGCTAGTAACAAACACACAAGCACTGTATGATTCCACTTACATGAGTTATCAAGAATAGTGAAATGCCTAGAGACACAAAGTAGAATGGTGGTGGCCAGAGGCTGAGGGAGGAGATATAGAGCTTTAGTTCTGCAAGATGAAAAAGTTCTGGAGAGTGATTGCCCAACAGTGTGAATATATTGAATACTACTGAACTGTTCATTTAAAAATGCTAACATAGTAAATTTTATGTTGTGGGTATTTTACCCACAAATAAAATGTTTTTCAAAAATTATAATTTATTTCACTTTCAGGTAAAAAAAAAAAAAAAAATCCAAGCTAGGCTTCGCAAAGTCATTAGGGTTCCCAACTCCTTCCAGCTTGTTGCTCTGTTGTGATTAGAATGATGCTTTTGTTAGCACTAAGACAGCTCACCAATAGGCTTTCCTCCAGTAGGAAGCGAAAGGGGGAAGGAAGCGCATATCCTTTCTTTAAGAACTTGTTCCAAGGATTAAACATCACTTCTGCTTACATTCTATTAGTCAGAATTTACTCATATGGTCACACTCAGTTACAATAGGACCTGGAAAATATATTCTTTAGCTGGGCAGTCAGGTCAACAGCTAAAATCTCTATTACTCTAGAAAAAGAGAAAAGAGGTAAGACTGCTGCAGTTTCTCTCACTGGCTAGGTGAGCACTCAACAAGTGAAAGAAACTGGTAGCAGTCCTATCTGGTCACACAAATCTCAAAACATCAGTTCATGTGAATCTCAAAACATCCTTAAGATGAAGGTAGATTTATCCTCCTTCATCAAATAAGGAAACTGAGATTTAAAGAGTGTAAGTAACTTGAGGCATCAATGTTGTAGAGCAAGTTTGCAATCCTCAGGGCCCGCTTTCCACTCTTACGTGTCTACCTGAGAAATTAGAGTCTGTAGATCTGCTAAGGGTTGAATATTTGGGCCCACCCCAGCCCTAATGTATATGTTGAAAGCTCATTCCCAGTGTGATGATATTAGGAGGTGGGGCCTTTGGGAGGTGATTAGCCTTCAGGGATGGGAGTAATACTGTTATGAAAGAGACTCCAGAGAGCTGCCTCACTCCTTCTACTATGTAAGGACACAGTGAGAAAGTGCCATTTGTATACCAGAAAGTGGGTCTTCACCAGACACCAAGGCTGCTGGGGTCTGATATGATGGAGTTTAGCCATGTTAATCCTGGTCATTCCATCCCATAGCCTAACCAGGCTCAAGGAGATTTACAGAGTTGGTAGTTTTCTGAATAAGCCTTTCAAAAAGTTACAAACCATTTTATTTCTTGCAACCTGGTCAGTAATTTAAATACAACAGATGAGATCTTGGAGACCACTCATACCTCTTTATAATAAAGCATAAAAGCTTAAAAAATAATAGAACCCTTCTCTCTTTACCAGAAAAAGTACAAGCTGAGATTGACAGAGTGATCGGCCAGGGGCAGCAGCCGAGCACAGCCGCCCGGGAGTCCATGCCCTACACCAATGCCGTCATCCATGAGGTGCAGAGAATGGGCAACATCATCCCCCTGAACGTTCCCAGGGAAGCGACAGTTGATACTACTTTGGCTGGGTACCACCTGCCCAAGGTAACTAAGCATGCTTAGCCCCACATCTTCAAGCCCATCTTTTAGATGGGGTGAAAACCTGAACTTGAGAAGTGACATTTATTCTTGTCCTGAGGAGTCATATAAATGGAAGAGAAAGATATCTTATACCTGATATGATACTAGATTTTCTCCATGTGTCAGCTAGATATAAATAGGTATTGTGGGGAGGGGAGCAGGAAGGATTCTCACGTTAAATATGTTTAGATAAAGACTGGCGTTTCTTTCCTGTAGTGCTGCTCAGTGTTTTTACCATGTTAATGTGCATTGTGAGTCTGCGGGCACGTGACAGGCAGCAGTTCTAGGTCAGACTTTATCACAGAACAGTTTTCTTTGTTTTGGTAGAACATCTCACCAGACTAGGGATCTGCCAAATTTTGGGAAATTCTGCTTCATGATCCTGGGGTTCTAGAATGCTGAAATGTGAAAGGACATTTAAGACCACCTGGGACAACACCACATTTAATGCTGGTGTTTTTAACATAATATCCCCACAGGCATTTTTCTAGTTTTTTCTTATAGTCCTGTGATGTATTATTAATTAATTAATTTATTTATTTATTTATTTGACACAGAGTTTCGCTCTGTTGCTTCCAAGTAGCTGGGACTACAGGCATGCACCACTATGTCCAGCAAATTTTTGTATTTTTAGTAGAGATGGGGTTTCACCATGTTGGTTGGTTAGGATGGTCTCGATCTCTTGACATCATGATCCACCCGCCTCGGCCTCCTAAAGTGCTGGGATTACACGTGTGAGCCACCACGTCCAGCAGATGTATAATTTATTATCTTATAAGGAAGCCAATCTAAGCATGTGCAATATTCATTACTGGAAAGGGAAAGAAAGGAGCGAACATATATTAAGCAATGATTATGTGTTGTGAACAATGTGGCCTCTTTCAAAATGTCTTACTCAATTCTCAGAGTAAGTTTATTCAAAAGAAGCTTGTTATTTCCATGTTATGGATTGAGAAGTAGAGGCTCAGAAAAATTAGGTTTGCATGAGATCTCTCAACTATGAAGAGTTGGGATCTGGAAGCAGATTTGTTTTGTTTTTTTGGATGACACCATTCTCCCTTCACAGGAGGTGCTTTGCGTCCACTTTAAAAGCATCTCCCTGCTATTTTTTCATTTGCTCTCGGTTAGATTCCCTGTACTCACAAGTGGAACTCTTTCTTTCTTTTTCTTTCAACTTTTGTATTAGATTCAGGCAGTATATGTGTAGGTTTGTTACAAGGGTACATTGCATGATGCTGAAGTTTGGAGTATGATTGAACCATTACCCAGGTGACTGGCATAGTATCCAGTTGGTAGTTTTTCAACCCTTGCCCCCCTCTCTCCTCCAGTAGTCTCCAGTGTCTATGGTTCCTATCTTTATGTCCATGTCTATCCAATGTTTAGCTACCCTTATAAGTAAGAACATGCAGTATTTCATTTTCTGCTTCTGCAACAAACAGAATTCTGATGTCACTCCACCCACCACGCTTAGGATCTCTGCAGACAGTTATCATGTGCCCTCTAGTGCCCTCTCCCCACATTGCATGTTTTCAGTTCCTTTCCTTGCTTTCTAACCACTTTGGTCAACCTCTGTGGATCTATTCCAGTTTGTCTAAGTACCTCTGAGTGTGTCATACCTGGGGAAAATCTCAAGAAGTAGAATCAGAAGAGCTTACCCATTGGACATTGTTTGATTACTATCCCTGCAGAGCCAGGAAAAGCAGCTGTTACATTTACTATTTCCTTACTGATTGGCCATCTAGTGGATAAAGGCTGAGGTCTAAATTCCCCAGGTGCTGTTTGCATTTTTCTAGCAATTCATTTAACTCAAGGAAACCAGCTCGGCTCAACAGACTTCTGCCACTGATTTTTGTCAGCTTTAATAATCATCTTGGGAACTGAAAAATTGAAATAACCGTGTGTTACACAGTCTACAAGCTATGACTTTGACATCAAATAGACCTAGTTCAAATCATGGCTCTGCCTCTTCCCACTGTCTGACTCTGGGCCCATTATTTTACCTCTCATAGCTTCAATTTCTTCATCTGAAAAAATGCATTTAAACCTACTTTACAAGATCCACGTGAAGGTAAAATGAGATCATGCATGTAGGGTATTTAACTTAGTACTTAGTACAGAAAGTGCTTAAAATAGCAGTTATTGGCTGGGCGTGGTGGCTCACGCCTATAATCCCAGCACTTTGGGAGGCTGAGGCGGGTGAATCACCTGAGGTCAGGAGCAAGACCAGCCTGGCCAACATGGTGAAACCCATCTCTACTAAACATATAAAAACTAGCCAGGTATGGTGGTGGGTGCTTGTAATCCCAGCTACTTGGGAGGCTGAGGCAGGAGAATTGCTTGAACCCAGGAGACGGAGGTTGCAGTGAGCCGACACAGTGCCACTGTACTCCTGCCTCAGTGACTGAGTGAGATTCTGTCTCAAAAAAAAAAAAAAAAAAAAAGGCTGGGCACAGTGGCTCATGCCTGTAATCTCAGCACTTTGGGAGGCTGAGGCAGGCGGATCACGAGATAGGAAACCGAGACTATCCTGGCTAACACAGTGAAACCTCATCTCTACTAAAAATAGAAAAAAATTAGCTGGGTGTGATGGTGATGCCTGTAGTCCCAGCTACTCAGGAGGCTGAGACAGAGAATGGCCTGAACCGGGGAGATGGAGCTTGCAGTGAGTGAGCTGAGATCGCGCCACCGCACTCCAGCCTGGGCGACAGAGCTAGACTCCGTCTCAAAAAAAAAAAAAAAAAGAAAAAGAAAAAGAAAGAAAGAAATAGTTATACTAATATTGAAAATTAATGATTTAAATTCCTTGAACTAATATTATATTAATATGTTAATATTTGAATGAATTCAACAAACATACATACCTGAAATGCTCAGGTCTGGCAAAACAACCCTGAGAAAATTAATCGTGCAAGTACATATTTAGAAACATGATAACTGCCCAAAGGAAAAAACTCACTGTGGTCTTTAAAAACACAGACTAGCAGGAGTGGTCAGGGAAGGCTTCCAAAAGCAAGTGATGTTTGAGGATTAATGGATCATTAAGAGTTAGCTTGATGACAAAGTGGGGAAGAAGAACATTCCTGGCAAGGCAAGTAGCATTTAAAAAGGGTATTGAACTAAGTAGGAACACGGCATGTTTGAGAAACTGAAAGAAGAGCCCTGTAGTGGGAGTGCAGGCAGAGGGGGAGAGTGGCCCAGACTGGGACCAGGTGATGAGTCTTTGCCCTGAGAGCAATGGGTAACTACTGAAGTGTGTCAAGTCCTAGATATGAGCAGTGGGGGCTGTGGGGGTGGGGAGTGACATGACAAAATCATGCTGGAAGCTCACTCTCTTCCAGAGTCTGAAGCAGATTGAAAGGGGCGACAGGATTTGGGGTATAGTTAGGAAACTGTAACAGGGGTCCAGGCAAGCCGGGAAGAAGTCTGGACTAAGTGGGCATGGTGGACATGGAATGGAGGTGAAAGTAACATTGACCAATCTCGTTGATGGGTTGGATAAAGGCAGAGTAAAGGAAAAGCTCCCTCTGGGAACTCCTGTGTTTCTTAATATATACCTGGGTGGACAGGGGCTCCTTTCATGGGTCTGCCTGATTCTATTACTAAACCTACTGTGGGGAGTGGGGTACCGTGTAGTAGACATTGGAGGAAAGAGAATGGCAAAGCCAAGATGAATGAGATGTCTTTTACCTTTGTAGAGCCGCCATCGTTATAGCTTCACTGAGCAGCTGGGTTGGTTTTGGTACACTGCAGACTGACTGTTGGATTATTCTCTCATCAGTGTATTCATGTCCCCTCCCTCCGAGACCTACCTAAACTGACCTGTCCCTGTAAGGAAGATCCATCCTGCACTCAAGAGTAGCCAAACATCCCTGTTAAAATTCCCAGCAGGGAAATCCAATCTAATTTGTAGGCTGTCCCAGACAAAGAGGAGGGTCCTGGGTTGGGGGACACAGGAGACTGTGTACTGCAGTTGGGGAGGGTGGGGCCGTTCAGAGTATGTTCAGCCTCCGGCATGGAAGCCTGAATATGACCACCTTCTGCATTGGTGTGCTTTTTCATGGGTCAAGCCTTGCCTGAGTCTCTGCTGCTTTCTCTAGGGGACCATGATCCTGACCAATTTGACAGCGCTGCACAGGGACCCCACAGAGTGGGCCACCCCTGACACGTTCAATCCAGAGCATTTTCTGGAGAATGGACAGTTTAAGAAAAGAGAAGCCTTTCTACCCTTCTCAATAGGTAAGTTGTAATAAACAGGCATATGGGAGTCCAGGGCCCCTCTCCCAACACTCCCCTGCTCTCTCCCTGTATTCCCTTGCTTTCATTGGAACATCTCCAGACAGCCTGGCCAGTGCAATCACTCCATCTTGCTGTAGGGGTCAGCCCTGGGATTTCCAGGGCTGGGCGTTGCTTCAGCCTGCCCTTACTTCCTAAGCCCTCCATTGCCTCTGCTGGAGATTTCAGCTTTCCTGTGTTCTGTCCTCTGGAACACTGGGGACAGAGACCCAGACTCCACTTCCAGCTCACAAAGAGGATTGGGTGCTGCTTTTTGTTTGTTTGCTTTTTGTTTTTTGTTTTTTTGAGACGTAGTTTCACTCTTGTTGCTCCAGGCTGGAATGCGATGGCGTGATCTCAGCTCACTACAACTCTGTCTCTCATGTTCAAGTGATTCTCCTGCCTCAGCCTCCCAAGTAGCTGGGATTACAGGCATGCGCCACCATGCCAGGCTAATTTTTTGTATTTTTAGTAGAGACAAGGTTTCACCATGTTGGCCAGGCTGGTCTCAAAGTCCTGACCTCAGGTGATCCACCCACCTCGGCCTCCCAAAGTGTTGGGATTACAGGCATGAACCACTGCACCCGGTGGAGTACTGCCATCTTTACTAAATTTTAAAATGTCCTCAGTTCTTTTTAAGGACTGCCCACTCACAGAGAAATAGAGCTGATCTATAATAAGGAGATAGAGAGGGACAAGGGGAAGGAGAAACTTATTTGCCACATGGGCATCAGTCAGTGGCTTCACAAGATTGGATTCTACTCTCTAAGTACGCCCTCGAAAAGGTTCTTTGGCCTTTGTAATTTTAATTCATTTTTTAAATCTAATTAATACATTTATATAATGTGTAACTTGAAAATTAAGAAAGAAGAGGCAGTGAAAACTCTCTTTTTTCTCCTGTTTTTAAGATAACCAGGTCCAAAAATATATTTTTAACTCATGGCATTGAAAAATCAATAACAAAAATTCTTAGTATGTTCCAGGTTTTGAGTTAGATATGTTGCATAGTTTATTTCCAATAATTTCACAATTCTTTAGTTCCATCAGTATTTATTGAGTATCTATTATGTGTCAAGCATTCAGCCCTGGTGATATGACAATGAATGAGTGAAACAGAAAACAAAACAAAACAAAACAAAACTGCTCCCATGGTGCATATGTTCTAGGGTAATCATATAAAGTTTATGTTACTGTAACCACTTTTTAGTGATGAGGAAGCTGAAGCTTAACCCAGGATAGAAACTGAAGTCATAAAACTCATGTGGCAGAGCTAGGATCAGTGTCGACCACATTTATCAAAAACTAAAATGTGCGTTCTTCCTAACACTCTCTACTGAAAATAACTAAATGCTACACAGACTTACCCTGTGGAATGCATGATAGTTTTCTTATTGTTAATTTAAAATATGTATTGATGTTCTGAGACAACATCATTTTGCTGAGGATGACCCTAAGGCTCAGAAAGGACAGAAACAGAGTGACCCATGTTGGTATGACTCGGAAGCCCATGCTCTCCCACTGTGCTGTCTTGTGCTGTCTTGTCTTAGATGTCTCTGGGCTGATTCTGACGATCAGTGCTGTCTTTGTCTTTCTTCATCTGATTCTGTCACCTCCGCTCACATTGGACAATTCACTTCGAATGTGAAAGCTGATATAAGATGCAGGAATATCTTCCAGTCTTCCTGTCTACGATAGTTTCAAATTTTGTATTATAGCACAACGTTTCAGCTATTATGTTCCAATTATTATAATTAATTATTCCTGTTCTTTGACTCTTGCACAACATCCATGTGGAAATGATAGAAATGTGACCTTTTCTACATTTCACAAAAATGCTTCACCTAATGCCATCTGCAACTGTGATGAGAGGAATCTTATTAGAAGGCCATGGCTTTAAAAGGAAAAAGGATACTCTGGGCTAAGTGATGCCTGGATATCTTTTCTTCGTATCACAAGCCTCTTTCTCAGAGTTGCTTCATGTCTCCTGTTTTTAAAAAATTATCTTATCTGAATTAGCAGTAGTCTTTTTAAAAACTATACGCAGTGACTCACTGCTGCTTTGCTATTGAGAGTTGTATTGCACCCTCTTAGAGACTTCATTTGCAAGAAAATTGTCTAATTTAATCCTTACAACAGCCCAGTTATTAATAGGCAGGAAATGGATTGGGATCTCTTTTTAATTTAAGATAACTAAAAATAAGAGAGAGTTGTTTCTTATCCAAGATCATATGCTCAAGGAATTTGCAGAACAGGACCTAAAACTCAAGTTTTTATACTTCTAGTCTAGTGTTCTCTCTAGTAAGACTAGAATGTAGCTTACTTAAAGTCCTCTCTACTTTAAGATTCACTAATTTCATAACACATGCATCAGTTAGCATATTGCTACATAACAAACAGTTCAAAACTCTGCAGCTTAAAACAGTAAGCATGAATTATTGCTCACAAGTCTGTAAGTCAGATATGTGGCTCTGCCAATCTTGGCTCGGCCCCCTTGGTCTCTCTGATCTTGACTAGAGGTCAGCAGACTGATGGCTGATCTAGGATATCTTCATTTGGGACAGTGAGGCCCTTCTCACATTATCCCTTATCCTCCAGCAAGCTGCTGTGGCTTAGTCACATGGTGGTGATAAGGTCAAAAGAGGGAGAATGGAAGTACACAGGCCTCTTAAGGTCCGGACTGGGAACTGACACACCATCACTTCCATTGCATTATGTTGGCCAATGCCAGTCATAAGGCCAGCCCCAGTTTAAGGGGAGGGGATATTACTACAATTTTTAATGGGAAGAGCTATGACATCACATTACAAATGATGTAGATCCAAGAAGAGGGGGAAATTGAGGCTGCTTTGTTCTTACCATCTCTTTTTCTGAGAAGAATGAAATTCATAGAAGGCAAGCAATGTATCTGGGATGTCCCACAGAAGATGTGATAGGATGAGGACCAGTTAAATGGATCAAGAGATAGAAATCTGAAGAATCCAAAGGGTTAACAAAACATCAACACAACTGTCTTTTTAATCACATGCCCACTCTTGGCACGCAGTTGCTTTTCCTTGCTGTTCCTTTACTCTTGGTAAAGAGTCTTCTAGAGGACTCTTCCGAAGTCCTCACTTTACAAGATGTAACAGCTTCTAAAGTGTGCATAATAAGGACAGGTTTCAAAGTTTTACCACAAATTTATATTTACTTTTCCTCATTTAAATGCTTCCTGTTTGATCCATCAAAGCAGGAAGCAACTTCATGAAATACATGAACCCAGTTCCTCTCTTTCCAGTTAAAATCTTTAGATTCTAGGAGATAGGGCTGGAAAGAAATTTGCCAAAAATGTAGGTCAATTCTCTCATTTTACTACTGAGGTAACTGGCCTGTTTGGTTAGTGATAGTTTGGGGAAGCACCAGGGATGGGAGCCAAGTTTCCTTTCTTCCAGGCATAAGTTTGACACCTAACAGTCCTAGTTTTCATGCTTTTAAAAGCAAATTCATACTTGCCATTACATTGGGATCCTTGCCTAGCCATGCAACATAGTTGGGAGAGAATTTATTTCATGCATTTGACAAATGAGATAAGTTTAGGTTTGCGAGAATGAATGCTTTACTAATAGTCACACAGCTGGTTACTGATGAAGCCAGTTCTTTAATCCTGGTTCCTGACTTGCTAGGTACAGTTTGTCATGATATATGGATTCTTTTAGGAGAATCTTGGGTATATTTACAATAAACTGATTTGGTATCATTTTAACCTGTTGCTAATTGTACTATTTGTGATGGATAAAGAGATAAAGGTGAGGGGAACAGAGATGAATTAGACACACACTGGTGGGAAACAGAGGCACAAATAATATAATAATGACATAACCATGAAGCACTTTTGCCTTTACTAAGCACTTTTGCATATATGATCTAACTTTACTTCCTTAACAACCTATTACAGACAGAGGACAAAACTTAGGCATGCATACATTTCCAAGAATATTAAATTACATGGGAAAATACAAAGCAGTAAAAGCAGCATATAGAATTGACTACAAGGAATCATATTTGTTATGATGTACAAAGAATCTCCACAAGGACAATGAAGAAATATGTTAAAATGTTGACAATGGTTTTGTCTAGATTATGGGATTACAAACATTTTTTGTACTTTATACTTTTCTTTGTCATGCTTTTTTAAATTATTGCTGTGAATACGTATTACTTAGGGAGAAAGTAAGCTATTAAAAATGCACACAATAGAAATGGCAGTAGTGACTTGTGTAGGGTAATGTAGCCCAAGTGGGGTGAGGAGGACATTCACACAGGGGAGGGGGTGGTGGAAGCTGAGAGCTGGTCTCAGAGCACAAATGGTATGAGGTGGAATCTGCACAGGGTGGCTGTGGCAGTGATGAGGGGTAAGTTATATACAAGGGATACTGATCCAATAAATAAATATATTGAGGATAATGAGAGGAAGTTGCAAATAAAGAAAGGGAGAAAATCAAACTTTGTGTTGTTGGATTGGAATCTGAGGTAATCTATAATGAACTCAGATTTTCAATAGATGAGTCAATAAATATAGAAATGTAGATTAAATATGGGTGTGTGTGTGTGTGTGTGTATATATATATGTAAAATGTATACACACACAGTTTTGGACATATACCCACATTATATACATACATATATTCCCTAGCTCTGGCCACCGATATGAGCAAGGGGCAACAATATCTGGAGAGCAATGAGCATGCCTAATGCCCAGATCTTGATTTCTACATATTATTATCCACTAAAAGAAACCAGGACTTTTGGAAAAAATGACTGATTCCAGGGCTGGGAAAGGGAAAGTATAAGATCAACCTGGAATAGATTGTTGTGCCAAAAGTCAGGAAGTGACAGGTTGAATGGGCGTCTAATGGTCAAATCTGGAATATTTTGAGCATCAGAACAAGTAATGATAGTAACAGATTATAACCCTTTGAATAAAAACA